CCACATCGAGAGGAGCCAGTTGAGGTGGCTTGGGCATCTGTTTAGGATGCCTTCTGGACGCCTCCCTGGTGAGGTGTTCCGGACACGTCCCACCGGAAGGAGGCCCAGGGGAAGACCCAGGACACGCTGGAGGGACTACGTTTCTCGGCTGGCCTGGGAACGCCTCGGGATTCCCCCGGAAGAGCTGGCCCAAGTGGCTGGGGAGAGGGAAGTCTGGGCCTCCCTACTTAGGCTGCTACCCCCGCGACCCGACCCCGGATAAGCGGAAGAAAATGGATGGATGGATGGATGGATAGAAAAAGGGACAAAGCCATGAGGAGAGAGGTAGTGGCATTATAAAAAAGATCTCTTCACACCTTGTCCTTACAGGGCAAGATTTAAGACATCAAACAACTCTGCCAGCTAAAGCACATTTATGAACGTGTACATATGCATTTAAAAACGAGGCAGTCCATGAAGCCTTAGATAGTCCATTGTCCTGATAAGATGATGGTCAGCCAGTACAGTTCTAATAAGACTCCAAGGGGGGGGGGGGGGGGGGGGGGGGTTGACGAAGCTTTTCCTTAGTTTACACATTTCTCAGGAGAAATTGATAAGCTGGCCTGTTCCGAGGCCAGCTGGGGAGAGATCCAGATAACCACAATTGTTGATTTATTCAGGCAGACTATTTTTCCGTCAGCCTTGAATTTTAACTGATAACTTTCCAAGGTCCAAAGTGTCCAGAGGAGGGTGCATTCCACTGGTCCGTGCTTACGAGCCTCTTCAAGGTCGTTTTCATGCTGACGAGTCCCAAATCCGCAGGTGGCAAGCGATTCCAATCACTTCCAACTTACGGTTTTGCTCGTAAATCAGCAGATTTTGAGTCCTCAAAGCACGAACCAGACCTTCACATAGACAGCAGCTTGTCGAGGTCCAGATTATCTGCGGCCGTCTTCTTTGTATGTTGATAAGGCAGGATCCAGACCATTCCAAAAACAGGAAACCTGTCATCATAAATCCAATTGTTGGCAATTTCAACATCCTCGGTCAATAGCAGAGGTAGACCCCCCCACCCCCCCACGAGATATATCCAGCTGCACACCTCGTCCGAGCAGATGAGGGATCTCCAGGACCCTATCAATTTGTTGAAAGAAATTGCAATATACATCGAAAGTCCAGTTGGTCAGATCCAAATCAGTAGTTTTCATTTCGGGAGAAGTGTTAAAAAAAAAAAAAAAATAGTAGCTGCTCCGATACACAGACCGAGAGCAAAAATAAAGCAGGAGGAAAACAGAGAGAGTGGGAAGGAATGCATGCACCTCCTTTGAGAGCTTTGAGGGAAAAAAATTATTGTGAATGAGTTGAATAAAGTTTGACTTATATGTTTTGTTTCGCTTAATGCGCCTTATAATCTGAAAAATACGGTAGATGTTACATTTGATGTTTGACCCAAACAGCTACAAGGCCATCATTTATCAAAATAAGATGATCTTAATGTAAAGTGCTGGCAACAAGTGATTTAACTTTTCCAAAATAATATAATTAACCAAATTCTAAAAACATTAAAAACAAGTAAAACTGGACAAATAAAACCAAGATGCATCTCATCACATTAGTGAGCTGGATTACTTCACATAGATGATACCCTACAATGTTTTAGATAAATGCGTAAAACCTTGTGTTGTAAATGTTGTAATTCAGTTTTTCATATTTGCCCAAATTCCACCCAAAAGGTTCAGTTAGAAATAATATAAAGTTTGACAAAATCACATTTGAGCGTAAATTAGATCTTTATTTGAAATTCTTTGAAAGCCTTTAAAAAAAAAAAAAAAGGTACTAGATCATTTAAAACACACACACACATACACACAAATGACGCTAGTTAAAAAGCTTAGATTTCAGTGAAGCTGGAGGAGAATCAAACATCGTAGCATTTCAACCTAATCATCCATATTTGTGTTGTTAGTCTGTCACAAAAAGGTTTAGATGAAAGAGGAGAGGGCAGAACATGACACTACAACCAGTTTCAGCTGTTTCAGCTTGATTTATGTGTGAGTTAAAGGTGGAGAAGTCCTGAAGGTCCATGTTTTATGGGATCGCATTTCACCTTCTCTCTCTCGAGTAACTACAGTATACAGCTTCAGGGCTCTTATCAATACCAGGTGAGATTCCCTCTGTCTTTATTCATTCAACCTTTATTTATTCAGGTTAGTCTCATAAATGAGTCCTCGAAGCTCAATAAGAGTCATTCATGCCTACGCCTACTCCTAACTAAGCCCTAGATCAGGGCTATGCAACAGGTGGTCCGGGGGCCAAATCAGGGCCACAGGTGAGCTCAGATCAGCCCACCAGTGGGTTCATTTTTAAATAAAACTAGATTTTAAACTGTAAAACAAGATTAATTAATGACGATAACTGCTGGATGTCCGGCCCCTGAGCTCTGGGCTTTCAGTAACTGTGGCCCCCTGAGCAGTTTAGTTGAATAGCCCCCGTCAGGTTAGTGGTCTGTCTGATCTTCTGTTAATCCACCAAGGGGTCCGATTCAGACAAGAACAGTACAAGAAACTTTGTGCACAAATAACTTCCATACATTAACAAACAAAAAAAGAAAAAAGAAACTTAACAATTGAGCATGAACTTTGGTGTAATTTAACAATATTGAAATTTTGCACAAAAGAAGCATTTTTAGCTTCAGATAGCCCGGTGAGGTTTAAATCTTCACCTTCATTTTTTAAAAAACGTTACTTTAAAAGTTCTGCTCAGGCGTCTGACTTATGTCTGGACCTAAACTGAGTCCACCAGAAAGCATGGGCAAAGCACACTTCACAAGAGGCATCACAAATTTAACTACGTCAAAATAAAAGCACACACACACACATACACACACACACACACACACACACACATACACGCCCTTCACAAAACACAACTCATTTGTAGATACAGTATTTGTGGCTCATAGTGGCAAGCAAGGGAAATTGCACAAAAACATCATCAGAACTGGCATTTCCAGCCTTGTAAAACAATAAAAACATTAAAATAATATAAAAAAAAAAAACTTTTTTTTTTTTTACAACTGTCTTGTTCTTCTTATGTAATAAAAAGCTTTTTAAAATGAAAGACGGTCGTCAAACGCAACAAGTGCTGCACAGTTTGAAGCTTTTTGCGTCAGTTTCTTCACGCAGTCCGTTTTCCCGCAGCACCTCCGTCAGTCTGCGGCCGACATGTTAGCATGTGCAACGCTCCTCAAGTCTAAGGTGCACAAACCTCGTCTTCACCAACATTTAGCAGTTTCCATTTTCATTGTCACAGGTAACATTTGAGTCTCTTTATATAAAAATGAAATATATATAAATGTTTAGTAATCATATAAACAAATGATATAACAATAAAACACAAAAAATGCTTTTAGGTGTGGTTGTTATCTTTTGAAGGGAAGAAAACGTTAAAAACGAGTAATATTTGACTATTTGAGGAAATTATCAGCTTGTCCAACATGTATTGCTGCCAACTTCAAAACAACTCCAACCTCTAAAAAGTCAAAATAATTAATGTTATAAACTTTATAAACCTTTTCACCTCCATCAGTTTTGTTCTGCACAGTTATTGTTCCAGTACTCCGGGCTGCACCACACGTTCTACAAATAATCAGACAATTCTTCATAAATAACCACTTCATGCAAAAGTGTCAGCAATATAAAGGTTTTTAAATTACATTTAAAATTAACTTTTATTTTTATATATATATATAAAAAATAGTGTTGTTTTAAGAAAAAGAAATCCTTCTTCTGGTCTTGGCCCCACTCAGACTATTAGCTCATCAGTTTCTCCAAACTGAGGTTGTTCTAAAACCTATGTACAGCAGGTAAGATATTACTTGTTCATAACTTTTCCACAGAACCCCTCTTGAAAAGAACTGAACTTTTGCTTTAAATATGAAACAACTGCAAAACAAGATGGTGAATTTTTTTCATCTCGGATGTTTTTAGACACTTCGGGTTGTTTTAGATGCCGTCAAACTTCAGCTGCAGTTGAACCAGTTACAAACAACATATGATGCACACCATCCCCCCCCCCCATCTATTTTACTTTACCCACTTTTTCCTTTCTGGGCTGAAGGGGGGGGGGGGGGTACTGGTGTCTGTCTCTTGCAGTCACAAGTCCATCACAGAGACACACAGAGACAAATGAGACAAGCACTCGCTCACCCACACCTTGGGACAATTTAAAGTTACCAGTTAACCCATCACACATATTTTTGCTCTGTGGGAGGACACCAAAGTACTTAGCAAAAAAAACAAAAACAAAAAAAAAACACATATGCACAGTGAGAACATGCAAACTCCACACAGAAAGGCTAGGAGGTGAACCTGCGGCCTTCTTGCTGTGAGGCGACAGCACTAACCACTGTTCCACCCACAGTGAGTTTAACAAATAAGAAAAAATGAAAAATATTTTGGGATTTAACAACATCCAAGAGAAATAACAGCAAACTTCTATTGGGCAGTAATGGTACACATGGTGCTCTTGGTCTTTACCTGTTGTGTGTTTGCTACAACAGAAGCCATAATCCTTCAATATGGCTACTTTATATACGTTTGGAGTCCTTCACCTTATGCAGCCGAAAGCACATAAGCTTCATCTCAATAGTGTCTTCCCAAAATGCTCTACTAATATGTCCTCTCTCTCTTACAGGAGATAAGAAGGTCATCGTTGTGTTTCTGAGAGGTGGTGTAAACACCCCCTTAGTCAGTCCGGTGAAGTAGGCGGAGTGTGAGTGGTTGAATCAGAGGAAAAGGAGCTAGAAACCTAGATCCTTCATTCATTTCATGAAGAAATTAAACAGACTGATAAAAGTGTAGCAGTTCCAGAACAGGAAGTAATCTGCAGAAACAGGAGTGCAGATGACCCGGGGTTCCTCCCAGAGTTACCCACAGCTGCACTGTGCAGTCTCACCTCCTGCTTCATAACTGTTCACACAGGTTTGGGGTTCTGCAGGCGTTCTGAGCGTCTGCACCCGATCACAAAGTGCCAGGGTGGTTCCGGAAGTTGTGATGGTTTCCTTGCATCGCGTCTGAGATCTGCAGGCTCGGCTTCCTCTCCAGGTCCTCGCTATCGCCTGCTGCCGTCCTCGAGCAGCGCAGAGAACGCTTTTTAAAGAAGTCTGATACGAATCGGACCTGCGGAGGCAGAAAAACAAAAGCAAACGTTGGGTCAGTTAGGAGACGTTCCTCCACGCCTTCCAAGTGCTGGAGTTTCAGGAACACGGAGGATGTAAGGGCAGGGCTGGAAATTGTGATTACACATGTCTGGAGAGGTCTGTGCACAGATGTTAAATGACACATGAACATTCACTCGCACATCTGAGAGGAACACACAGAGAGCTGGCACTCTTCCTGTAGACCATTAAACACTGGGCCTGGATGCTTACAGCACACTGAAGACCAGAGGCTTAGGACCCAATTAATCATACACTGGCACACACCCACACACACACACATATATATATATATATATACATATATGTACACACACTCTGCTACTCAAGAAATTTCCACAAAGCACTTCTGACTGTGGTTCAGTCAAAACAGGGAAGTGGCCAAACAATAAAAGAAGGCCAGCTGGGTGAGGTGGAGGGGAATGGACGTTTTGGCTGAGAATCGGTCAGCGCAGCCACGCCGAGCTACCGGGGGGGGGACTTACCGACTTTCAAGCTGCTGCTTAAATGAAACCAAGATGAAAAATAAATCATCCGTCTTTGAAGGGAGTATCACTAACGGTGAGATTTCCACTGAATGTCAGTTTCACGTTTGAGACCGTCTCACCCATGTTTGCTTTTCCAAACGTTTACACCCACTGTGGTCAGGTTTAAAGTCAAGATGTCATGAGGCATTTCACCCGAGATGAAATGTCAAAATGTCAGCGTTTTAGGTAAGTCAGCTCGTCATACACAGTGAAAACAGGTCTTAATTGTATTTGGTGGAAGTGTTTGTGTTCTGGACGTCTAAGGTAAGGATCCCAAGCTGTTGCAGCGTTTTAAAGGACGTTGTCTGAGACTCACGTTGAGTACAGCAACAAGGGCTCCCTGCAGCAGCCCCACCAGCACGTCGCTCCAGTGGTGCTTGTAATCAGAGACTCGGGTGTAGCCCACATACACGGCAAAGGCCACCAGGAAGAACTGGATTGTGGGCCGGAGGAGTCTGGCCCACTTAGCCGCAAGTCTCGCCTGCACATACAGCTGTGATTAGAGACAAAGTGGAAAAAGAAGTCAGCAAAATCAGACAACAAAATGATGAAAATATGAAAAAAAAAAAAAAAAAAAAAAAGGAGATTTTTTTTTGGGACGTAGTCTTTGAAGGATTAATGCAAGATGGTTTGTTGTCAGATGGATGATATTCAAGCCCACACATCTCTAAATAAACTGGAAAATGGGTGTGCTTTTAAAAAAAAGACATCTGAAGTTGACTCTGAAAAGGTGTTGTGTATACTAATACTAATTTATATCCACTATACATGAATTTGAGCACAATATATATTTTTTAAAAACAGTAAATGCAATGAAACGTATAAATCTGACAACTACCACATTTTCCGGCCTATAAGTCACACCTTTTTGCCTAATTTGCATGCCCTATGACTTATACACCGAAGCAACTTACTTATGTTTTTTCCCATATTTATATTCTAATTATTGGCTGAGATATGATCGTTTTCATTCATTCTGACACTGAAAATATTTAACACTATCATTTTTAGCCACTAGATGGCACTCGAGTTGTATGGCATGCCATTGTGTCATGTAATAGGTAAAAGTTGCTATTAATGACACAATCGGATTGCCATATCCTTCCATCTTCGTCCAGCTCGCAAGGAGCAACCATCAAATTAGCTTAATTTTGCTACGCAGCACCAACGAAATGAAGCTAATTTGACCATTGAAGTGCAGTTATTAAGTAAAAGTTCAACTTAGACACACATTTACTATAAAGTCGAGCAAACAAAGAATTGTTTTTAGGTGCTTATCTTGTTAAATTTCGAAGAAATGGACAGCGAGTCGTCCCTCTGTGCGCTCCTTCTTCCGCGTATTGGCTTTTGAAATGCAGCTGATTTGACCATTAAAGTGCATTTATTAAGAAAAAGTTAGACTGAGACACATCTTTACTATAATTTTGATCAAACTAATTATTTTTAAGTGTTAATCTTGTTAAATTCTTGTTAAAGTCCTCCCGTGCACGCTCCCGCGGCCGCCATTTGGCAGCCAATCGATTTTTGGCACAACACCGGCCCACATGTCCGGGTTGTCAGAGGTAATGCGTAACAAACGCATCAGCGGTGATGCATAATAGATGTGACGTATACTGCAAAGCGACGTATTTATGGATTTTTCCACTTTATTAGACATATTTGGATTGATGTGACGTGTACGGTGGAAAATACGTATGAATGTCCCTATGTTTCTTCTCAGCTCCTGTTCAAGGTGCAATAACTGGCATCATGCTCGTGTCTCACAGCCACACTTCACACTGCAGCAAGTTTTACAAACAGTGCACACATCACAGCTGAGCAGCTTTTCAACTTGTCTGAACTGTTCATGTCTCTGGACAGAAGCTCGACTTCTTCTGTCCTTTGAGCCCTGCTTGAAACACCCAGGCTAACACTCCCCGGCTTTCCACATAGAGACAAACAGTTCAAGTCGAGCTTGAAAGAGGCTGTTTGTTTTGTTTGTGTAGGGTTGTGCAAAGTAGTTTTTAGAAGTAAGTGTTTCACCTGCAGTGGACAGCATTAAAGTGTTGTCTGTTTGGAGAATCAGTAAAATAATAATAAATCTCATGTGAGCTCAAGCTAACAATAACTCAGAGGAGTAATTCAAGAGCTCATTTCCTGTATTTAAAAGTACTTTATCACATTAAAACCTCTTCTTACACCTCATCATTTTCTCACAAGATGTATGTTTTTTTTTAATTATCAAAAATTCATTAAAGATTGTTGATAGTGGCTGCAAAATATAGTCCACCTCTACTCAGATAAATCTACCAGATTATTATTATTTTTGTCTCTCTCAGAGTACTTTCGCTGTGTTATCTGCTTCAAACAGATAACTTACTATTTTTGCAGCCAAACTGTGTTGTTTACAGTGTTAATCTTTTAATTTTACAGTTTCTAGTTGCTGCTTTGTGTTTAGAGCAGCATTAACTGTGAGCCACGGCTGATCTGTGATGAGACATGATGGAGCAGATTTTGAGTTTGTCTTTTTCAAATGCTGCAAACTTGATCTTGAGCAGGCCTTGCATGGATTAGCTGTTAGCTTTCAGATCAATCTGACTGCCGTCTGCTGCAGGTAAGATGCTGACTACTCTAAACAACCCGTTTCAACAATCCATAATCTCCACTGGCTGTAGAGAAAGGCCGCAGAAGCGTCAAGATTTTTTTATTTTCCACATTCCTCTACTGAACTCCTTCCTTGTCCTCGTGTGTTCACAGGCTTAAACTGGCTCCAGGGGTCTTTCCCCCCTCTTAACAATTAGCCTTTGATTCCACTTTCTACGCAAATCTACTGCAATTCCTGACACAAACTGAGATTTTTTTGCACTCTTACAGCGATGCGCACTGCATTATTATTCTTTCAAGTCGTAAGGCTACACTTACTGCAAGGAAGATCATGCAGTACATTCCAAAGGACGAGTGACCAGAGTAGAAAGACAGTCTGCAAAAAGAAAATGGAAGACAAATGTAAAATAACAAACAAAAAAATTAAGTACATTTTTTTTTTTAAATCACAGGATATTTATGAATGATTCATAATTCTCCTACCTTGATTCTGTGACGTCCGGTAAACTGCCGGTGCAGTTGATCACCTGCATGTATCCTGTGCAGACCTTGGGAGCGCACACAGTCATGAAGTTAGGCCTCGGACGGCCGATCGTGTACTTGGCGAGCTCAGTCAGCGACTGGCTGACCACGGCTCCAAACAGAAAGGTGCCCACCACCTTATAGAGTGCAACCACATACTGGTTGAAGTTGGAGTTGGAGTAAATCTTCTCGCTGTACACCAGGTAAGCCTCTCCAGACAAGATCTGGGTAATAATAATAATACTTTTATTGCTTCTTTGCAAGGAAATGACATTTTCTTTTAATTGCACGCTCCAACTGGTAACCTTTAATTCTGGAAAAATATAGAAAGACATCAAATACTTTGATACTTACAATAATAACGGTGCAGGAGATGGTGACAGCTGCCAGCATGCCGTGGGTGATGGTGTCTGGTTTGATGGGATACATGATGCTCTGGTCATCACAATAAATCCCCCGTTGATATGGCTTGGACATGATGGTCAGGATGATGAAAGGCAGTGAGGCTGAGGAGAAACACAAAAACAAATGTTGATTAGCGGAGATTTTTCAGCAAACATGAAAAACAACAACGAGGCGCTACTTAAAAAAAATATACATGCTAATGCTAGCAAAAGACAAAAATGAGCATGTTCATTATTTAAGAAAACACTTAAATATCTGTATGTCTCAAGGTCTTCAGACGTTACATCACCTGTATTTTGAGATCAGAACTAAATATTTCTTTAAGGAAACCGCTTTTCTACTGCTAGACGTTGGGTTTAAAGTTACAACAATAAAAGCAGCCCCGGAGGAGAAAACTTAAAAAAGTAGCTAAATCACAGGGTGGGACGCCACAGCAAAGAATGACAAAACTAAACAGTGGAAAATACTGTAGCTCTTTGTACAAATGATACTTTTGGCATTTTTGTGTTTTAGGCGAGCTGAGACACTGGAATGATGTGGCTGACTAAACTAGGGCAAACGAACTGAGGCTGACAGAAATGATGATGTCCTTGAGTTCAATTCTTCTGTTCAAATATCCACACTAATGAGCCAATCCTTTTGTATTTTAGGAGAAACCTTATGCTTTGTTTCATATAAACTAAGAAACCGATTCTTTTGATGCCTTGTACTCCAATTGAACTCGAGATGTTGCCATACTTCTTCCCTCTGTTTTATCCCCACAATCTGTTCCAGCTGTTGGAATTTGGAACTGACTCGTCTGTCACCACGTCCCTTCTGAAGGCTACGATGGGGACTTGTGGAGCTTAATTCGAGGCAGATCCAAACAGCACGTAGGAGAAAAGCCTCATCTCCACAACTGCAAAAACCAGAAGTGATTTATCCAGTTTTGGTCTCTTTAGAGAGCAGAAATTAGTTTATCTTCACAAATATTTTGTACACTTTATGCCTCAGTTTTATTGCAGTGCAAGTCTTTCCTTCAGACTTTCCAGTTTTTATTTCTGATATTAATTAAAGAAGTCAAATGGAATGAATATGATGAAAATATCCAATATGTGGTAGAGGAATGTGCACTCCACCCTAATATCTACAACAGTCTTGGGGCCGCTATGGAAATACCAACCAGCTGCAGGCTAAATGCAAGAAAAACAGACAAAAAAAGTGCTGAGCAAACGTGAGAAATGCGCTCGCCAATGGTATTACGTTTCTGTGTAAATTAACAGCGTACCCCTCCCATTCTTTCACAAATAATGTCTGCAGCTGACACGATTCCAGGAGGACTTCCAGTGAGACTGACTGATGGGAGCGAGCACGACGAGAGAGGCCAAAAGGAAAATACACAACTGGAAGGCGGACACGACTTCTACTGAAGTGAAGGCGTGGTGTTTAGTTCCACTGCATGCAATGGAGTCAGTCTAATAGTCCGCAGACTTTAGTTTGTAGGTGGAAAATTGTTGACACTAAGACTAACACACTTATAATCAAGAAAAATACAACTGAAATGAAAGAAAAAAAATTCAACAAACCTTCAATTCTGAGCGCTCAATGACAAAAACAATTAAATTTCCTCGTATATTTCCAAGGCTACAACATGGTAACTAATTACTTAGCAACATGCCAGTAGCACACATACTCCTTAACTCATGCCATAAAGACAAAGAGTTGTAGTTTCACATCAACTCCTGAGGCATCCCCAAAAATTCTTGGTTCAACTACACATATATTACAAAAGAAGTAAATAAATAAGGTGTATAACTAGACAAACAACTTGGGCTGCAGGATGTTGGTGGTCAGTGCCGTACGTCTCATAATTATGAGGCCCAGGTTGTGCCAGGAGGGGCATTTGTTGTTAGCTGTTGGGACTTGCAGAGGGGAGCAGCTGAAAGAAAACCAACAGCACAAACAACTTAAATTCACATTTTACTACTTTTTCCATTTATATCTATTGTAATTATATATTTTGTAACTGTTTTTGTCAAAAAAAAAAAAACTAGTGGGAATAACTTTACAATTGTATTTGATTTCTGGAAATCATGTGAGGACCCCCCCAGTTTGGTGTTTTGTGACCCACAGAGGAGACTGGACCTCAACTTTACGTTATCTTTCATCCAAAAGACTTCTTCGGTCCGAGGAGCCACAACAAACTCAGTCTTTTAAGCAGCACACTCACATAGTGGGTCAACCAGTTTGATGGTGATAAGATGGTTTCTGGAGTCCGCCCTCTCCCCCGCCGACTCTGAGGCAGCTGTAGCTAAAGTGGTTCAAAACATCAAAGTTCATGCTCAATAATCCAGAAGTGTAATAATAATTCTGTAATATGATAATACAAAAATCCAGAAACCATCTTATCATCATCAAACTGGTGTGCCTACTATGTGAGTGTGCCATTTAAAAGACTGAGTTTGTTGCAGCTCCTCGGACTGACGAAGTCCTTTGGATGAAAGACAAAATATTTAAACAAAAAGTAACCATCCAGATGAGCTGACTGAACATTGTTGGATTTTTTACCTGGATTATTGAGCATGAACTTTGATGTTTGGGAACCATAGTTTTACACCAATAAGTTGCCTTCAGGAAAGCCATCGAAACCTAATTAGATCCATCTGTTTGTTTCACAAACTAAACTTATTAAAAGAACTCACTTAACACAGTAGAAAACTAATAGGAAAACTTTTCAAACCAGACATTCCTGTTGGCACCTATTGAGTTTGATGGACTTAAGAGGCATTTTCAGCAACTAGGGGTTCAGAACACCCTCCAAACACCACTATTTTTGCGATCTGCAGCTGGTAGACTTGCACATTCACACTGCAGATTACCACTAATCAACACATGAGGACTGAAACCTCGTTTGCACATCTATCAGCCGTGCTAGGATGTGATGTGGTACCCTGGGGTTTTAAAGTTAGCTTATTTCCCCTTTCAGTGCCACATAACAGTGTTTGAAATAACCACAACACAAATTTCAATAAATTCAGCAGTATTTAACTAACATCCCGTCTCAGGAGAGCATTTCGATATGGATTTACTGATGTGGCTTTTGGGTGACGGCGCCTGCATCTTGCTACCAGCTGAGCATGAGAGGCACATACTTCTGGGGGTTTAAATACATTTAGACCCTTACATGCAAAACAAACAAACAACATAAATGACCAATTGGCCAATGAATACAGGGTGCAAGAATGAGTAAGGTAGTCACAGTCAGTTATGAATCTTAAACGGTGATTACACAGCATCCAACATCTGCAAGGTGCTTGCAGGAGCATTAATGTAAATGATGTCACCAGAGTCAATGGAGGGGAGGAAAGTAGCAGTTACAAGACATGTCCTAGCATTCAGAGTTAGACAGGATTTATTTCTAAAAAAGAAACCCAATTTTACTTTCAATTGCTTTACCAAGTTTTAGACATGAGGCTTAAAAGAGAGATCAAGGTTCAAGGTTCTTTATTGTCATTCGCATCATGTGGTACATGAGGTGGAACGAAATTGTGTACTCAAGGACCCAGTTAAACCTAAAAATAGCAAAAATACAAAATATAAAAAGAAACAGCATACAATATAAGGATATAAGATATACGCTAAACACCAATAATGTCAAATAATACAGTGTATTAAACAGCAGCCCGAACATGAGTCTGTAGTGAGCATATGGGTATGAATGGATACAGCTCCATAAAGAAAAGAGATCAGCAGCATGGATAATCAGCAGCACAGATAAGTCACATATCAGCAATTAAAGTGGCATTACAGTGATTTTTTATTATTTTTTTCCTTTCAGTGATTGTCCTGGTTAGCGATTTATGAGGGGAGCAGGGTGTGCATCGACCAAAATTCCCAAGTATTTGTAAGAATAAAAAAAACTCAATAGGAACACCATTCATAGATAAGATAGAAGGAAGGACTTTTGGTACAGACGTCATGTTTGAAAACAACATTCCTTTGGTTTTATCAACATTTATCACCAGTTTGAGACAGAGCAAATCTGACTGGATGAATGCAGACTGCAAGAGCTGGAAAACCGTAGCAACTGTTCTAGCTCGACAAACTTCTGCGTCGTCAGCATAGAAATGTAAGGATGCATCAGGAATGATTTTTTACGTAGATTGTGAAGAGGGTGGGACCTAAGACTGAGCCTTGTGGTACACCACTATTGACAGTTAAATAGCTGGGAGATGTACCATTATGGTGAACATATTGCCTTCAGTCTGAAAGGAAATTAGAAAACCAATCAATAGTATGGTCTGAGCAACCAACGTCTGAGTGTATGGCATAAACAAAGCATGAGTGTGAAAATTAAACTGTATGTTAAATACTCTAAAGTGAGGTTTGGGTATATTTTAACCCTAAGATCTGGATTGCTAGATGTACAAACTAATTGTGTCCGCCCTAGAACTTTTCGTGGAAAATCCATGTTTGTTGTTGTTCCAGCTGACAAGACCCCGATGGGGACATGGGGGGGCTGCAAGAAGACAAATTACATCATTCAGTCTCAAATTTTTACACCACGTGGAACGTTTGTTTACATTAAAAACAAGGTAGCACTTTAAACTATTAGGGAATGACTTGTTGAACAATATATAAAATCGGTGAGTTTTAAATAGTTTGTCTAATAGTGGGTATAGTCTGTCAATGTGTTTGTTCAATTACATCATAAATGTCACTATAAAGCAAAAGAAAAACAGAAATTTGTATATAGGAGTCATGGGAACAGTTATTTTGACCAGTATATGATCATATATCAATTTGTCAAAAAACAAGTGTTAGTTGTCACTAAATTACGCTACACACGTAATAAGCTCACAATAGTCTAAAAATATTTAAAATACTGTACATTTAATTATGGGTTTTAAAATCTTGACAAATTTTCTTAACAAAACATGTATTTTGCCAGTTTCCCACAGTTTATGGATGGAATGAAGTGAAGGCGTTAGGCTTTAAAAGCCCCTCACCGGGTTTTTTCTGTTTTGTTTTATTTTCTGTCTGTTCGTAAGGTGTTAATTTAGCAAACATCTAAAAGCAAATGCAACTCATAAACTTACAAATTTAGGTGAAATAAAATGAT